GACTGTGAACATCATCTTGGCAACCAAACACCTTTCTTAGAAAGAACAATTGTAATTCAATTCTTGACAAAACAACTGTTTTATTAATTTATGACTTTAATATCCCACCTTTCTTCTAAGAAACTCAAGGTGGGCGGCAAGCTTTCCCCTCCCCCTCTCAATTTTAGCATCACAACAACCTTGTGATGTGGGCTAGGCTGAGAGATAGTGACTGGACCAAGGCCACCCATTGGGATCCATGGCTTAATGGAGATTAGAATACAGTGGTACCTCTGGTTGCGAACAGGATCTCTTCCGGAGCCCCGTTCGCAACCTGAGCAGAATGCAACCCACGTCTGCGCCGGTCACGATTCGCCACTTCTGCGCATGCGTGTGACATCATTTTGAGTGTCTGCGCATGCGTGAGCAGCAAAACCTGGAAGTAACCTTTTCCGGTACTTCTGGGCTGCCGTGGGACACAACCTGAAAACGCTCAACCTGAAGCAAATGCAACACGAGGTATGACTGTACTGGCCTTTGGTGGGGGGCAGGCCCCAGAGGTGCACACAGGCCCCAGGCTTCCAAGGCCTGCGCTTCCCCAGGCCTGTGCTTCTGCCATGGGTTTGAGGTAAGGCAGTGCGCAGAGGGGGCGGCAGCACACGGTGGTAGCTGTGGCGGGCAGGGGCAGCGGCAACAGCCAGGTGGTGGCATGCGGCAGGGGTGGGGTGGAGGGGCAGCAGGGGGTAGCAGTGGTGGCGCATGGCAGTGGGGGGTTAGCGGCGGTGGCAGCATGCCACAGCATGCAGTGGCCCTGGGGAAAATGTGCTGTGAAGAAAACCGGCCCAGGCCCGTGTGTTTTTTTAATGGTGCTGGCGTGTTTTCATGCACTACACTGCCATGTCATGAGGTTACGTCACATCATGACGGCATGGCGCACTGGGCACCCACGAGGGGGCACGTTGGTGCCCCTGCTCATAGGAATGTCCCCCTGTTTCTGCACAGTCTAGCCACTTATCAGTGCAAATTTAATGTGGCTAAATTGGCAAGGGGTTGCCAGCCTATGAAATGTGGTAACATTGCCTTACAATTTTCCCAAGCTAATTGATTGATCCCCAGGAAAGAAACTACATCCTTCTCTCATTCATTCATATATATATATATATATATATATATATACTCGTCTGGGCTGAGAGTGAATTATTAAAACAGCCAGTTATTGCTTCTGAGGTATGCTGAGCTAGAGGTATGTCTGCAACACAGAGCGTCACTTATCTCTTTCCCCCACTTTCTTCAATCAGCTACCCAAACAATTTTATTTTCCACAGCCTGCTCTTTATCTGCCATGCCTGTATCTATGCAGAGATAAAAATCCCTCTCTTCAGCTCTTCCAGGCCTAAGCTAAATATTTTAGCTTTCCATTCAATGTCCCTCTCAAGCTTCAGACCTGTATTTTCGGTTATAAGCCTCCTCTTGCAAAATAAACTGTGTACCTAGGAGTGTGTGTTTCTCATGCTCTCTCCTACAGAAGGTGAAGGATGGACATACAACCCGCTACTGGGGGATGCTCAAGGATTTGGTTTGCTCTGCAAAAAAGCAAATAACCCCCCCCCCCATCTAATACATCTGGACAAAAAAAAGAGAGATGTTCTTCACCTGTTGTCGAAAAGATTGCAATATTTGATCGCCAGACATTTCACTCCAAAGTTGAGGTGCTTTCTTACTGGCTCAAAAATAGAAGCAAGAAGAATTACCGACGATTGAAGAATGGAGAATGAAGTTAATGGACTATGCAGAACTAGATAAACTAACAGGAAGGATTCAAAACCGGCAGGACCATAAATTCACGGAAGACTGGAGTAAATTTATGGACTACTTGAAAAGTATTTGTGAAGATCAGACGTTCGTAGGTTTGCAAGAAGTTTTGTGAGGAGTATGATTGGAAGTATTGCAAAAATGGAGAAGGGGAAGGATGATTTGTTAAGAGATGTAAAGGCAATACAAAGTTAAGAAATGCATAAGAAGTGGTTAAAACGGTGGATCATCAGAGGTGCTGATGGAAGTCTAAAAAGATTGTATAAGTGATAAGTTTTGTGGTACATTTTATAATTTATATGTTAAAATCTCTCTCTCTCTCTCTCTCTATATATATATATATAAACAAAGTTGAGGTGCTTTCACCAAAAGGGCTGAGGAACAAATGTAATTAGATTAGTTTCTACACAAGTGCCTCTCTAACTTCCATCCAGACTAGTGATCACAGTTCAAGTACCAAATCCAGCCAGGCAAAAGCCTGCTCCAGATACAATTCAGGGCCATGGACGGGTATGGACAGGGGGAAGTTATGCAGGCCAGATAGAAAGGGCTGAGTGGCTCCTGATCTTGAGATTCCCACCCTTGCTTTATTATTAAATCACTTTAGCAATGATGTGGAGATATAATAATGATCTAGAATGAGCAAACTCGTCATTACTAAAAGAAAATTAAAGACTGTACCAGCTCCAGTTTTCTGAAAAAGTCCCAACCACCCACAAGGATGACAGCAAATGACGATGAGCATTTGACTTTTTTCCCCAGAGCCTTACTAGCATTTTTCAGCTATGATATTCTACCAGATCATTTCATGGTGCCTCTCATAGAATCATAGAATTGGAAGGGACCTTGAGGGTTATCCAGTCCAACCCCCTGCAATGCAGGAATATTTTGCCCTGCGTGGGATTCAAACCCACAACCTTCAGATTAATAGTCTCATGCTTGATCTCATGCCCACACTTCCTCCAAAGGAGCTTGAAATATATATCACACACACACACAGAGAGAGAGAGAGAGAGAGAGAGAGAGAGAGAGAGACTTCTAATCCCTTTTTATTCTCATAAAAATGCTGTTAATTGGGTTAAGTGGAGGGGATAAATTTCTGCCTCAAAGTCACTCAAAGAGCTTTATAAGTGGAGGAGAGAGAGTGCTCACATTCTGCTTGCAGGTTGGTCACTATGAGAACAAAATTCTGGACCAGAGGAGCTATTATTGACCTGACCCAGCAGACCTGTCTTATGTTCTTGCAAGGTTTAAACTCAAGTTTCCTCACTTCTTGACCAATATTCTGTCCATTCTACCATACTGATGCTCAAAATACGCTATGTAAACTGAGTTATTTTACCAGTGTTGAAGCAATGATTCTTCAACATCAACTTGATGGACTGGTCGTGTTGTGCAGGTGCCTGATTATCGTCTTCCAAAGCAACTACTCTATTCCGAACTTAAAAATGGAAAGCGTAATGCTGGTCGTCAACAAAAGAGGTTTAAAGACTGTCTCATGGCAAATCTAAAAAAATGTAGTATAAACACCAACAATTGGGAAACACTGGCGTGCGAGCGCTCCAATTGGAGAACAGCCTTTACCAAAGGTGTCATGGGCTTTGAAGACACTCGAACTCAGGACGCAAGGGAGAAACATGCTAAGAGGAAGGCACATTTGAAAAAGCTACACCGTGATCAACTCCCACCCAGAAACTAATGTAGAAGGACGTGTGGATCCAGAATTGGCCTCCATAGTCACTTATGGACTCATTGTTAAAACTGTGTTTATGCAAAACAATCTTACTCGGCTGTGAGTGATCGCCAAAGAGGAAGAAGAACTGATGTTCAAAATATGTTATGTAAACTGAGTTATTTCCCCCAATGGGTGGAGGGGGGGATCTCAAATGAGGATGTAAGCATTACTTTCCAGCTGTTCTACTGAACCTCCTGGAAGCCTAATTTGTTCAAAAGTTCAGTCAGTTAATCTTCACAACCCCTGGCTCTTTGTTCTGCTTCATTTGCCAGTACCTTTTCTTTAATTTCTTTGAAGTCAGCTTAGGTATTGAACTATCTCCCTTTTAACCCATCTACTTTATTTACTGTCTCCTTTACCTTTTGATTCACCTCCATTAAATCTTTCCAGGAAGGCTACATGACCATTTTGGCACCTAATTCTTTGCTTGGTGAGCAGAGATTTTCCCCCTCACCTCTTCATATTTCCTTTTTAGTGCTTTATATTTAAAGCACTTTCTGCTTAAATTGCTCTTAGTCCTTCCATTTTTCTCCATAAGAGAATATGAGTACTTCATTTCACATCAAAGCTTTCCTTCTTTTGTACAGTTATGGACAAGCATGAGACTATTTTTGGATCTGCTTTTCTTTTCTTTTTCTTTCTTTTTTCGAGGGGGGGGAGATTTCTACCACCATTTTCTAACTCAGAACTACATTGCACAATACATTCCTAGGTTCACATCTAAGATAATGTCAACAGGTGGTCAAATGTGTGGTACAATTGCAACCCACAGGTGTTTGCAAAAAAATTATCATACAGGTATACCCAGCTGGGGGAAGAGAGGAAATTTAAGGCAGGAGTCAGCAAACTTTTTCAGCAGGGTCCCTGACCCTCAGACCTTGTGGGGGTGTGGACTATATTTTGAAGGGGGGAAAAATGAATGAATTCCTATGCTCCACAAATAACCCAGAGATGCATTTTAAATAAAAGCACACATTCTACTCATGTAAAAACACGATGATTCCTGGACTGTCTGCGGGCTGGATTGAGAAGGCAATTGGGCCGGATCTGGCCCCCGGGCCTTAGTTTGCCAATAACAACAACAACAATAATTTATTATTTATACTCCACCCATCTGGCTGGGTCACCCCAGCCACTCTGGGCGGCTTCCAACAAAACACTAAAATACAATAACCTATTAAACATTAAAAGCTTCCCTAAACAGGGCTGCCTTTAGATGTCTTCTAAAAGTTTGGTAGTTATTATTCTCTTTGACATCTGGTGGGAGGGCGTTCCACAGGGCGGGTGCCACTACTGAGAAGGCCCTCTGCCTGGTTCCCTGTAACTTGGCTTCTCGCAGCAAGGGAACCGCCAGAAGGCCCTCGGCGCTGGACCTCAGAGTCCGGGCAGAACGATGGAGCTGCCTACCCATGATTTGAGGCAAAGTTTGCATTTAAAGATATTGATCAAATTGCACTTTCTGAAACAATATGAGAACCAGTTGTAGCTCAGCTGGTAAAGCCTGAGACTCTTAATCTTAGGGTCGTGGGTTCGAGCCCTGCATTGGGCAAAAGATTCCCACATTGCAGGGGGTTGGACTAGATGATCCTTGGGGTCCCTATTCTACAATTATCTCCGGTCTTATACATTTTTTGCAGTTTCACAGGGGTGATGTACCAACGGTACATCATCTTTTCCATATTTTCTCTGAGGGTGGTGCAGCTGTAAATTTCATTCCTTTAGTCCACAGCCTCGTCCATTTGTTGAAATCCAAATTGTATCCGAGGTCTATAGCCCATTTTGTCACGACATCCTTAACCTCCTCATCCTTGGTGTCCCATTCTAATAGCTGATTGTACATTTTAGATAGCAATTTAGTTTTACCTTCTATTATTTCTACCTGGAACTTGGATTTTTTTTCATTGATTCCGATCTTTTTATCTTCCTTCCATAAGGCACTGATTTGATGGTACTGCAGCCAACCTGATAATTTACTTTTTAACTCTTCATATGGTCTAATTTTCCATCCTCTTTCTGATCTTTCTAGGAGGTCTTCATAAGTCCATCTCTCACCTTCTATATTTGTTTTTTTAATAGTTAACATATCTATAGGCGATAGCCACCAGGGTTGGTTTTTTTCCCAACAGTTTCTTGTTCTTTTCCCATGTTTCTAACAATGTTCCTCTGATAATATGGTTTGAGAAGCCTTTATGCACCTTTTCCTTATTCTGCCAGAGATAAGCATGCCAACCAAATCTTAAACAATTCTATGATTTTATCTTCCCAAATCCCTGGGATGTGAATGACCCTGTGCTTGTTAAGTATAATAGATTTAACTGCGGGGTGCTGTGGTCTAAACAACTGAGCCTCTTGGGCTTGCCGTTCATAAGGTCGGCAGTTGGAATGTGCATGACAGGGTGAGCTCCTGTTGCTGTCCCAGCTCCTGCCAACCCAGCAGTTTGAAAGCATGCCAGTGCAAGTAGATAAATAGGCAGGAAGCTACATGGCTCTGGAACGCGTCACAGTGTCCTGTTGTGCCAAAAGTGGTTTAGTCCTGCTGGCCACATGACCCAGAAAGCTGTCTGTGGACAAACGCCGGCTCCCTTGGCCTGAAAGCAGAGATGAGCACTGCACCCCTTTGTTGCCTTTGACTGCGCTTAACCGTCCAGGGGTCCTTTACCTTTACTAGATTTAATTGACAGAGAAATGGGAAATGTTTTTGTATTAATGAAGGTTTAAAATGGAAAGTGGCTAACACTGGGGGCTGTACTGAAGTCAAGGAGAGCACTTTGAGCTCTTGCTGAGTTGATGATTAACCGATTGCTGTTCTCTGGTAGCTAACATGTGAGTTTCTTTGTCCCCCAAACTCCTTGGAGGGTCTTAAGAGCTCCTTCTCCCCTCCACGTTCTTTTAAAAATCCCTGCCAAACTGCTCATTTCCCCTCCCTCCAAATAAGCTGGATTGTCAGTTCCTTCGTTCCTTTGCGCTGCATAAAACAAAGACATTAACTACATGGATATTCTTAAGGAGGAGGGGTGGTTATTTATCATTTTTGTAGCTTAAGGTGTTTGCAAAAAAAAAGGGGGGGGGGAGAAAAAAGAATGGGCTCTTTTCTCTCCTGGAACACTTTCCTCTGCCTCAAACTCTTCCTGGATAGCTACAGGATAGCTTGCCTCTCCTCTTGGATGAGTTGTTTTGTGTGTGGAATCCCCTCTGCTTTTTGACGGCAGGACACGGCTGCTCAGCAATGTGTCTTCAGCAATCAGTGTCTTTCACTACCCTCTGAATCTGCCAGCTACAGGGTAACTGTGAATACTTGGGGGTGGGTGATCGCACCCACAGCCGACACTGAGAGGAATTAACACCCTCACTCTGTCACAATTTGACCTGTCCTTAGCCTCTCCTTTGGGTACGAAGAGGCCACAGCTGCTGCCACCGCTGTTGCATAGGAAAATGTGAACTCCCATTACGAGTCAAAGACCTTAATCTGTAAGGAAAATACCATGTGCTTGCTCCCATCGTGATGATCTGCACTTCGGAGTTTATGTGTTCCGCATTTATATGCAATCAAGACAACAGAGAGGAACCCTCACTTATTTAGGAGGTTTCACACCAGTGCAAGAGGTAGGGATGGGGAAGAAATTCAAATCAGTTTGCATTTAAAGGCGAATGTACTTAATTCACACTTCTCAAAATACAATAGAAGGCCTGAAACACCGCAAGCTTTCGAAATTTGCACTCCGCTGAATTTTGCAGTGCAGCTTTACTAGCAAACAATGTCTACAAATGTGTAAATGTTAGAATAAAGTGTGCATTAAAATGTATATATTAGTGGCAATGCCATACAAAACGGCTCAGAACTGCAATACCTCAAGGACTGCCTCTTTCCATGTGAACCTACCCAGTCCCTGAGATCATCTTCTGAGGCCCTCCTTCATGTGCCTCCTCCTTGAGAGGTCCAGAGGGTGGCAACATGAGAACAGGGCCTTCTCTGCAGTGGCTCCCCATCTGTGGAATGCTCTCCCCAGGGAATTTCACCTGGCACCTTCATTATATACCTTTAGGCGTCAGGCAAAAACGTTCCTTTTTTACCAGACCTTTGGTTGACCAATCAACATCCTATATGTAGCTCTTTGGCGGGGGTACTATTGGGTTAAGGGATGTGGGTGGTGCTGTGGGTTAAACCACAGAGCCTAGGACTTGCCGATCAGAAGGTCAGCGGTCTGAATCCCCACAATGGGGTGAGCTCCCATTGCTCGGTCCCTGCTCCTGCCGACCTAGCAGTTCAAAAGCACGAAGTGCAAGTAGATAAATAGGTACCGCTCCGGCGGGAAGGTAAACGGTGTTTCCGTGCGCTGCTCTGGTTCGCCAGAAGCAGCTTAGTCATGCTGGCCACATGACCTGGAAGCTGTACACCGGCTCCCTCGGCCAGTAAAGCGAGATGAGCGCCGCAACCCCAGAGTCGGCCATGACTGGACCTAATGGTCAGGGGTCCCTTTAGCTTTACTATTGGGTTATTGTTTTTATTTTTATTTTATATATTGAGATCTTTTTTGTGAACTGCCCTGAAACCTCTGGGTATAGGGTGGTATATAAATTCAATAAATAATAATACAAAAGACAAGGGGAAATTGCTTGCAAAAATTTGTGCTTTAGCCAAAACGTCATACAGTGATATGTTTATTAGGAAAATTTCACACTCAAATGCTGATGAATTTTTATGAGGACAACCTTTGCAGCAGCTGATGGGGCTGTGGCTCCATTAGCCACCACACTAAGTTGTGCATGCATGCTTCTTCCCCATTCCCTTAGCTCCTGCATGATTGGACGCATGCACAGCCTTCATGTGCTTCGTTTGCTATACCTCGGGGTCCCCCAGAGGATGCAGGCCCCACCTCCTTTTTGTGGGTGGGTGGGGCCACCTTAGTTGCAAGGCTATTAGCACCGAGCCACCTGACTTTGCTGTTAGGAGGACTGGTGCCTGTGTCTTCTGAACAGCTTCACTATCCTTCCTGCATAATAGCCCGCGTAATGAAATCAACACTGTGCAATGCCTTGGGCACTTCTGAGTCGTCAATCCTCTAATCTAGATAAGAAAGGAAGCAAAAGCTGTGTGTATAACCAAGTGAAAAGAGAGGTATAAAATAGCTCAGGTTGCCCCTTCACTGCTCATTCTTTCCCCCCTCTCCATCACGATGCCCACCCCAGCCCCCTGCACTGTTGCTTAGCTAAGTTAAGCTGACAGTGTTGCTCCTGTTCGATGTGGCCTTGATTCATCGCTGATCTGCCTGTTTTCCAAGGTTAGCAAAAACAATATTGGTCTTCAGAAACAAATGCATGATTAATTGGTGCTTTGACAGTTGCATGGTAGTAAATGGGGCTCCAAATCAATCAGTATTTATGAAATGCCAGTCCTCTATGAATTTATAAATTTAACAAGCGTTGAGTTAATATCACTCAGTTGTTTTTCATTATTTCAAACCTGGAGGGTAAGAAATCCCCTTCTGTTTTAAAATATAAATAGCTAGCATGCACAGAGAGTAAATTAAAAGTGTCCTGCTTTATTGTCGACACTTAACCCTCCTATCATGCTACATTTTCAAGTTTCCCTACCTGGAGCTCACAGTCGGAAAACTCTGAGAGTCAGTAACGCTCTCCAGGAATTCTGCTCAAAAGCTACATGTCAGCAGCGAGAGCTGGGGTGGTCATGCTGCGTTTCCTATCAACCCCCAACTCATGAAGGGTGAAGCGCTGCAGTGGAGATGCACGGAGGTACCTGCATAACTGAGGTTCTAAACTGGGTGTGGAGCCTCCACGAGTGCAGAAATCTCCCCATTTCAAATCTTCACCCTTTGTGAGTTGGAGGGGGGAGTACATAGAGGCAGGACTTAGCGTGGTCTCCCTACTCATGCTTTCATCAGGTGGCAGAGGAACCAACACCCATGGCAGGTTGCCAGGAACGGACAAGGAAAAGTCCTTACCATCTGCTTTTTATTCAATATTCACAGAGAGAGGCGTGGGAATGCAGCCTATTGGAATAATGGCATTGTCCCGAGTGAGTCTCCACCCCATTCGTCTCTCCCACTTCCTCATGTGTGATTGCTATAGGTGCTGAAGAGTGTCCTCTGCCTTTGAGCTCTTTGCTCTCCTACTTTCAATGCTCACCAGGTTCTCGGGGGGGGGGGTTGGAAGGCTTTCTAAACACACTGTGTCCGTCATCTGTCGCTTCTTCTTCCTCCTCAGAGCTGTCTTTACCCAGAGGTGTAAGGGGTGCGGGGCACCTGTGCGCCAAATTCTGGGGGGTGCCAGACGCCTGCCACTGAAGCCGCCTAACCTCTTAACTACCTACCTGTTATGAAATAATAAATAAGTTTGATCAAGCTAGAAAAGCAAAATACATATATACCTTGGTAAAGGGACCCCGACCATTAGTTCCAGTCGTGGCCGACTCTGGGGTTGCGGCGCTCATCTTGCTTTATTGGCCAAGGGAGCCAGCATACAGTTTCCGGGTCATGTGGCCAGCATGACTAAGCTGCTTCTGGCGAACCAGAGCAGCACACGGAAACGCCG